AAATATTCAAAACTTCTAAAATTATGTCACACTATTTATTAATACACTAATTAATACATACACCATTATTCATTTCTTTCACATATATTGTATTATTGAATGTACATTTATTTATGTGTGTGATCAATGTGGTTCATAAATAAATAAATAAACAAATAATAGAAAGTGGGTTTCAAAAGAAGAGAGCACAAAAACCATGATCCAAATCAGCCAAAAAAAGCACAAAACCCATGATTAATTAATAAGCAATAAAGTTAAAAGAATTAAACTTAGTTTGGTTTTAGATTTTTAGCTTAAAAAAGTATAAAAGAATAAATTAAACTATATAAGTTAATAAAATAAAATATCACATTCAAATCACAAGCATTATATTTTTTCTCTTATAAAAATTAAAAAAGTCAAATCAAACGAAACTAAAAAAAAAGTATCAATACAAAAAAATCAACTAAAAAAACTAATTGCAAATGAAAACTTTAATGGCAAAAGATAAAAAAGATTGTGGTTTCCAACTAATCATTCCACACATATACCTACAACTTAAAAGCAGAGATTGGTCAATTGCATATTGACCTTGATTCCCTTCTTTACATCATTTTTAGCCCTACAAACATTATTCAACCCAAACTTTGTAACAAAATAATATTGCTCCACAAATAGGATACAATTGTATCCAATTAAAAGTAATTATTTAACATTTTCGTAACACCAACTCAGTATTTATGGATGGCACCGCACTATGACTATAATAATGGGCCAGACTTATGAATTTGGGAGAACTTGAAAGGTTTGCAAGATCCATCACGAGTCTTGTTTCATACGTTAAATTGTTTATTTTATTGAAAAATTATTTCAATAAAGTAATTATTGAAAGGTTTATTTTATAAATAAAAAAAATTATATAAATTCGACAATCGCAATATCTTCATTTTATTACATTTGTCTCCAAAATAATGGATAACAAAATATTTTTGAAGAAAAACTATCTATTTTTCTAGAGACAAACACGATAAATAAAAAAGTGATGGTTGTTGTATCAACTTAATTTTTTTTCATAAATAATATATAAAAAAGATCCTACAAAATAAACTATTTAAATTATCAAAATAAGACCCGTGATTGCCTCACGAGTCTCTCAAATTCTGTCAAATTTGAAAACATGGATTCAAGTCATCCAAGACGCCCTTAAATATTTCATTGTACCTGCACCAAATAAAAGCCAACAACCTAATTAGTTGAAGACAAAAATTCTCATGATAGACATTTGATTTTATTTGTACTTATTTATCAAAATTTGAAATATTAGTATGCATATGCAATTTTTGAAAGTGGGATGTTTGGTTCCAGTTTTCTTGATTTTAATTTATTTGTTTTTTAAACTTAAAAACCTCAAAACACTTTTCTTAAAGTTGTGTTTTGAATGCGTTTTTCAACTAAAACCAGTTGTGTTTTAGATGTCTTTGTTAAAAATAACATTTTTTAAGTGGAAAGAGACGGGTCCACACCGTCAAGAGGTTTTCTATTTTTTGTTCGTTGTTAATATAATAATGACGGGAAATTATTTCATAGTCTTGAAACATTACGTGGTCTTATTTTAAGTTAATTATCAATTACTTAACTCTTATATTGTTCTTCTATCCTTAACATAAATCGTGGGTCCCTACTCTTTTCTACCAATTAAAATTTTATGAAACACCATGTACCTATACTCCAAGAATACTGAATAATCACCTAATAATGATGTTCTCTATACTTTTTGATATTTATTTTTCATTTTATGGGTTCAAAATAGATCATTTCGAAAAACTTGCAATAAAGACTATTTGTGCAAAAATCTAACTCCATCGAAGGAAAATAGATAAACAAATCACAGTTTATTAGGGATGGTTTAAGTTTAACTTATAATTGTTGTATATTTTAAATTAAAAAATAAAATATAATTTGTTTCATCAAATATCAATAAATAGATAAATAAATCATATTTTGTTTTATAAAATTAATTATTTAAGTTTAAACTCATAGTTACTATCTATTTTAAAAATAAAATACAATTTATTCATATATCTAATGATATTCAATAATATTTTTTTTGTTTTTTTTTTTTTTTTTTTTGTAAATTTTTTTTTTGTTTGCATAACTCAAATTTACTGTTGAACTTATAGTTGTGGGCTTGAGATGGGATTTCATGAAATAAGAGTATGAAAAGAAACCATTCCTTTAGCAAATAGTATGTATAATTTTATTTTTCTTACTTCATTTTCCCATTTCTATATATAAGACAATATGACCTACATTAACAAATGTACATTCACTCAAATAAAAAAAAATATATAATAAAAAATAAAATTATATACAACATTGTTCTATAATTAAACCTAGGATGCCCTCCGGGCCACTTTGTTTTTTTTCTAAATAACATTTTTCTATAATATTAAACCATACAAATTAGTGTTGAGGTTTAGACATATAGACAAACCGACCATAGACACTTTTTTTTCTTGTTTTTTTTTGGGCACTTTGTTTTGTTTTGTTTCGTACCCTTTTTTTTTATTTTTTTTTGTACCCTTCTTAAATCTTGTTCTTTTGTTGTTTTAATATAGAAACCTCAACAACTTATTAAAAACAGGCTTAAAAAAATGTTGCCATTTTCATCTGTATTTCGTTCATTCCATCATAAAAAACAAGGGATCCAACTGAGCATGTTTCAACTGTTTCATTGCATTAATCCCATGTTTGTTTCATCAAATTGGAATATATAGGACTAGTAATCTAGGATAATAGTTTTGGTATTACCAATCTCTTAGAATTATGTAGTCTATCTCATGTTTTAGAATGTCTTTGGATTAAGATGAGGAATTGGTAGAATCTCATCATATATGTATATTAGATGTTGTTCACACCTACGTAGATTGAGCAATTACAAATTCAATCACCAGTTAAAGAAGAATCTATGCTTGAATTTTTAGTTACACTAGTGGGTGGCACACACGATGTGTGTGCAATTTAAATAAGTAAGAATAAAAAAAATAATAATGAAATTAATATTATAATGTGTACTTTGCTTAAGTGGTATGAGTCCTCGTACTTAAACTCAGGACACCATAAGAGGTGTTCACTTTATAATAGTACTAGCGGTTGGGCACACGCGCGATGCGTGTGCAAACTCGTTTGGAATTATAACGTGAAATTCACATTAAATTTTCTAATAATGCACATATAAATCACATGTATAACTATGTGTAATGTAACATTTGATATTAACATATTGATAAATTCGTACTTAAACTCATGGTCATGGGTTCAAGTCTTGCCCATCTCTTTGTTTAACTTTTTTTTAAAAAATAAAAAATACTGCCACATGAGCCCATCTCTTTGTTTAACTTTTTTTTTAAAAATAAAAAATACTGCCACATGACATGAGGAGAGTAAAGCTTCAGGACACCATAAGAGGTGTTCATTTTATAATAGTATAGATAGATAAGGACAATCTAGAAACAAAAACTTTGTGACAACAAAATGTCAACACTTACTCATCCCTTTGCATATATAATAGAATAGAAAGATATATAAATTTGTTTAGAATTGCTAGACTAGAACTATATGATGTAATGACCATAATTTGAAGATTAATCTAAATCCCTTTAATTTATCATTTTGTATCCTTATCCATAGTTCCAAATCGAGGTATCGGAACACATTAGTATTGGTGGCAATGTATCACGACGAGGAGTATTATAGACATATACGTATCAAGATTTGGGTGTCATAGTCGTGAATTTTTAAAAATCCTTGAAAATACTCTCAAACTCAAATTTTAAATCGCAATTGTAAACTAAATCGGTGTGAGGAAAAACAGACAACATAATCAGTTCAAACTGTTACGCAATCCGTATTTGTTGGTCCATAAAGTTTTTCTATTGTGCCAGTAAACCAGCCTCTAATTGTTACCAAATCTTCGAAAAACCATTACATAGTCGCATTAATTAGTAAGAACAAAATCAATAGACCTCATATGCTATATGTAGAGCTGATGAATGTTTGGGTGTAAGTTTAGCAGCTTAAAAATTCGTACTGTAGAATTGGAGTTGATTTCCAATTCCATTTCCAGCTCCAAGATGTCAATTCCATAAATAATAAACATTTAATCAAAGATAATGGATGATTATGAGAGGTGGGCCTTGCAAATCAAGGCTGTAGGTTTTCATGGTCAAGCCAATAATGTCATTTTATTATGAGAAGCTAATCTGAAAAGCTCAAAATGATGGGAAAAGCAGACAAAACAGAATAGAAAAGTTTTTGGACCTTTCCCAATTCATAGCACAAGTTTTTACTTAAATTATTAATGATACATTGGAGAACATGTTTCCAAACATATATGAACAAAAAAGACAAACAAAAAAGCAGTTACGGTTCGGTTGGCCAATCAATTGATTGAAAGAATTAACAATAACGGAGATAATCGGGGGGAAAAAATGGAAGAAGTTCATATAGATGACAATTAGGCTACATTTAGAAGAATTTGAGGTTAAACATTAGGAAATTTGAAAAGATCAATTCCTGAAATGGAGCAATGAATATAGAAGAATGGAAGATGCATTTTGTTGAGCTTTATATACAACTAAACTGATTCATACAAAATCTCAAATAATAATATTCACCAAATTATTTGAAAAATCCATTAATCTAAAGTTTCTCAAATTCAATTTTGAAATTTAGATTTCACCATATGATTGGTCCGATTTTCTTTTAAAAAAAAAAAATCATCCCTTTTTTTTAAAAAAAATAAAAATTAATTTAATAAAAATAAACATCAAAAAGATATTTTTAAATTTTAAAAAATTATTTCTGACTTTCTAAAAGATAAAATTATATAAAAATGATAAATATTTTTAATTGTTTCTCACCAAATTAATTTTTAGATTTTTAGAAGAAAAAAAAAATCACAAATTTCTAAAAATCAAACCAAACATGACCCATATTACTCCCAAAAAAAAAAAAAAAAATGATGCCAAATTATAATTACATTTCACTTATATTTCACACACATTTTTTCTTTCCTTGTCCAAATTCATACCCCAAAACAGACTCAATATAACTTAAATTAAATGTCTTTAATTTTTCCCCTTACATAGCATCAGTCCGCCAGTAGTCCTAGTACAAAAGAACTATCATAAAGATCTCAAATACAAACAACTACTAAAAGGGAAGAAAAAAAATCAGCATCGAAGGAAGAGTTGTGGCCTCAAAATGTGCAACGGTTTATCCTAGGAAGCATCGAAGCACAGATCCCTGGAATGAAAAACATTCAACAGCCCTTGCCATCACCTTTATCTGGTGTTGGATCTAGTCCAGGTTTTTTCATCGGGCTTGATTCTGCTGTACCTGCCGATTCCGCTGCACCTGCCGAGCTCATCGACACTCGTTTGACCCCTCTTCCCACCACGCCAAGATGTGTTACTCCAGCAGCAGCCCCATTTGTGTGAGCAGTGGAAACAGTAGGAGAATTGAGATCTCCACTGCTGCTAGCAACGCCCAGATTTGAAGTACTCATAACTGAAGGGGCATTTTTATTGGTTCCTCTTGCTTTGGCAGAAATCATCCCCAGGATATCAGAGAGGATAGATGTTGGGTTCGAAACAAGCTGCTGGAGATCTTCAAGCTGCAAATACAAAGAAACATAAGATATTCACGTTATATTAGTTGTCAAATTGGATGCGAATCGTGTACTGTTATTCTATTTTTCTGAATCAAATATCCTATTGTGTATCACAAGATTTTTTAACATCTGTAAAAATAGGTAAAAAAATAAACATAGCTATATAAAACACAAATATCTTAAGAGAAGAAAGCAATAAACAATGAATAATTCGTAAAATTGCAAAAGTAAGGTTGTTTGAAAAGATAAAATGCATAATCCTCAAAACTTAATGCATATAAAATGCAGAGTAAAATTAAAATATGTATAAAATACTATCTACATTCACCAAGTTTACTATTTAATTTACAATTTTTAAGTTCTCAGAGAGCTTATCCATAGTAGGAAACTTTAAACTTTAAATCAACCGCAAACAAGTAGATATTTGTCGAAAAAATAGAGAAATAAAAAAACTAAAGTGCCTTTCTCAATCTCAAAATATTCTCTTTTAATACATTAATAAATTTTTCTAACAATATTAATTTGCTAGAAATAAGTACAACTACTTTTTTCAAAATTGCTGAAGATATTTAGGTATTCATTTATCGTATCATGCATTCCATGTGTCAATTTAACTTGAGACATATTGATAATGCGTGTCAATTTCTCTCTAAAAACATCAAACAGTAAGATATGTATCGTGAATCGTAAAATACTGACATCTAATAGGAACTTCAGTTAAACTTGCCTTCTTTTCCAGCTCATCAGATAGGCCAGTGAGTGTTTCAATCTCTGCCTCTTTATCTGTAACAGAATCATTAGACTGGGAACCATTTGAAGAGAGTTGGACTGTTTGGTCCAATTCTGAAACAATAGATGTCGCTGTTGATTCTGACAAAATCTTTGATTCATTCATAAGCCGCTGCACTCTAGACTTGCAAATTGATAGAGCCTTTTGGCAATATGGAATGGCTTCCTCAGCTTTTGACCCAATCTCCAAACACAAACATATCCTAAAATTTCTGAATTCTCTGGTCAAGGAAGTGACTTGATAGAAAAGATAAATGAGGGATGAGGGGGAAAATAACCCAGCCAATCAATCAATACATGCATAATCATCGATAATTATCATATCTCAAGATAGTTTGTAGCCTTAAAAAGGATACAGTTCAGCTATATACCGACTGTCTGGTTCGACCAGGCGTTCCAAAATAGCTAGTGCTTTCAGGTAATCACTGAGGGAAGTTTCAACATCCTCTGCATGGAGCAAAACAAAAGATGTCGTACACAGATAAGTGTGGCTTAGAAAAATGAGCAGAGTAAGCCGCAGAGAAGATTCATCTGCCACGAATACTAAACAGTCTCAGCCCTAAGGTATGTATGTGTATATGTATAAATCAGACCTCTTTCCAGAGCAACTTCGGCCAAGGCTGACAATATGTCCACCTTCTCCATTGTGTCACCTGAGTGTTTTTCAACAATTGCCCTTGCAACATCCAGCATTTTCCATGCCAAATCCAGGTCGGATTCGTCCTCATCTCCCTCAGGCAGGTCCTCAGTATCACTTTCCTCATCATTTTCTTCCTGATCCTTCCCGCCAGAAACTATCTCCCAAGAAACAGAAAGCCAAGCTATGTGAGGAATTTCTAATTTGTGCTTGCATATAAAAAGCACATGTCCTCTGAAGCTACAGTAATTGATCAATGTTTAATTCAAATATAAACAGTGTCGCATGATGTGATAATTGTCCAAGATTACATTCACTATTTGATGCTTTTAAGGCAATACTTTTTTCAGCTTAGGGGAGTTCATTAACAGACTCAACTCAAGTATGATTTTTCTACTTTTTTTCTACCAATGGTCCCATTCCATCTAATAAAAAACAATCAGGCAAAATACCATTTAGGCAGTTTATCCTGCTGTATTAATAAGTTTCTGAACATACAAATAAATCGGCTTCTTTCTTTTTTCTGAAGCTTTCCCCAATGCTCCCATGATAATTCAGTCCTACCACATTGGCTGGCTTACATAGGTCACATTAATAGAATGGGTTAAGGTACTTTTACAACATGAGTGTGATTTTTCTTTTAATGAATACACATTTAATGGAAGGTAATTTACTGAAATGCATTCTCTACTTACTTTTGAAGTCTTCTTCCATTCAAATTAATCAAGTAAAAACACATTTCTATATGAAAGTCATATAAATAGATCTATTGATAGAATGGGTTAAGGTACTTTTACAACATGAGTGTGATTTTTCTTTTAACGAATACACATTTAATGGAAGGTAATTTACTAAAATGCATTTTCTACTTACTTTTGAAGTCTTCTTCCATTCAAATTAATCAAGTAAAAGCACATTTCTATATGAAAGTCATATAAATAGATCTATTGATGCATTATGGCTCCTTTTCCAAAGATTCTCCCATCAAACTCCACTCAACCCATATTTTAATTTGTTGCATTTGATTTTTTTTTTTCTACCAAGAAAAACCATAAACAAGAAAAACTGTTTGAATGTTTTGGATCAATAAATTTAAGTTGCGTTTGGTAGAGTTTTGTAAATATGATTTGAGAGTATGAGTTGTATTTTTGAGTTTGTGAGTTGTTGAATTATGATTTGAGTGTAGAAAATTTGTTTGGTTATGATTTTTGAATAGAGAGTTGAATTGAGTTTTGATTTGAGTGTGAAAAGTTTGATTTGACATGTGAAGTAAGAAAATTTGTTTGGTTATGAGTTTTAGAAAGAGTTTTGGAAAGAGTTTTCAAAACTTAATTCAAATTGTTATAACTTATAACAAAACACACTACTTTCACACTATTGAAAATTCTGATCAACACTCATAACCGAACTCTTTTTAAAATTCAATTAAAAAAATTTATTATTAACAGAAAATAACATTAATCAATTTTTACACTATGATAAATACAATATGGTTGAGAAAGAATGGGAGAAGAGAGATAAATTCTCTTTCAAATACAAAACCGAAAAACTATGGTAATTACACTATATGCACGTCTAGTTATATGAAAAAAAAATGATATAATTTTATATTTTTTGAGTTATAATTAAAAAAATAAAATAAACTATAATAAAAAACAAAAAGTTATAATCAAAATCTTAAAATAAGAGCGAATTATACTAACGGTCTCTATAATTTAGAGGTTGTGTTACTTTAGTACTTGACTTTTTAATTGTGACACATTTGATCATGGATTTTGAATATTGTTCCAAATAAGGACAATTGAAAATACCATTACTTAACTTCAAAGGCAAAATCATCAATTTGATAATAGTGTCTTCATGTTGAGGCCTTGCTTAACATCAAAAAATTAAAAAAATCGTAACATATTTAAATATTAAAATATTTAAAATCTTAACAAAATTAAAATATTTAAAAAATTAAAATATTTATTTGAATTGAGTGTTGAAAAGAGTTTTGAATTATGTATTTGGTTATGAATTTTGAAAAGTAATGATTATGTTTTGAATTGAGTTTTAAGAAATGGGTATAGAATTATAATTTGAAAGCTCAAAACAAACAACACACTCAAATCAATGGGTGAAACTATAATTTGAGAGGTTTACCAAACGGAGCCTTAGTGTTCTGGAATAGAAGTGTACTATATTTTGGTACAAGTATTCCAAAACACAAATTACTATGATGTTGGTGTTTTCAGGTAACTATGACTTATAAACAAAATAATTTAGCACTCAATTACAAATTGGGTGTTTTTGTTTTTGTTTTTTTTTTAATTTAGCACTCAATTAATCGATTGGAATAAGTTGTGGGTTGCCCATCTATAAGCATGACCAGAAAACCAATATATCACAGAACATCATAAACAGGGAGACTAACCATCATCAGCAGCTCCTTCCTGAGGCTTTGAACTCCCTTCTAGTTCAACATTACCAGAAACAGAAGCCGAAGATGATTCACCAATTACTGCATTTTTAACAGATCCATCTTTATCAGAGAACTGTTGAGATTCACCCTCTTTCTTTGGCACAGCACCCAATGGATCAGCCTCTTCTTGAGCTTTGTACAGTAGTGCACACCCGTACTTATAATATGAGTTAACACATTCAGGAGCAAGTTCCCCATAATGAGCAGCCCTGGTTGGGGGGAAAACATGTAAATTTTTTTACTAGAATGAAACAAAATAATGGAATATAATTAACGTGAGACGTGGGAAGATCATGAAAGAAAGGCAAAATCTCTCTACAATTCCAAGGAACTCAGTCCAAAAATAGTACTGCAAAAACTTTTAATTTGTAAATGTGCCAACAACGGATTAATTACAATTTACATCTTATTGTTGTAAATTTTTGCAGTTGACATGATGAGGTGAATTTATAAAACAACAAAAAGCACAAGAAGCAAATGAGGCATGCTAAGCAAGCACAATTGTGTAGTCACATTCAAGAAATCTCATATCATAATTTCTTTGCACCGGTTTTTGTGTTGTAATAGAGAATCAATATACCACTACATACCACATTAACACTGCATCCTTACCACAGCTAACAACCAAAAAGACAAAATTGTTAAGTCAACATAGCAAGTTGGCAAAGCACACACCATTTTAACTGAAAACAGAGAAATTAGACATATAATATTGCAGAAATTGAAGGCATGCTATGCATGAGTCACTTCGACAGCTTGAAGATCAGGGTTCAGTCGCTCCAACTATGAAATAATTTATCCAACAGTTCAAGAACCAGTTGCATACATCTTACTCAATTCAGGATTAAAAAAAAAACTGTTGTGTTTGCCACCACTATCACCACTATCATTAATTTAACTTTTTGAAAGCTTAGTAATGATTTCAGGGATTCAAGCAGCCAAAAAAGAAAGATGAGAAAAATTGCCCCAATAGTTTTATAATGTAAAAATCTCTTTCGTTCTTTCGTTTTTATGAATAAATTTACAGTGATAAATTTATCATCTAGTTAATAGGTCTGATTGGTAAGTGGCCCTTCGTTCTATCCATGGCTCACAGTTATCAGAATCGTTAAACCCCTAGCCCAGCTTAATGCCGAAATAGACATTGCTACACTAATCCGCACTAGGGCTTTAACTTCAGGAACGAAAACCAAGTAATTCTCGACTAAAGACTACAAATTTTCCATAAATCTTCTATCAATTTTGCTACACTTAAAGATAAACCCTAACCTGATTTCTAGGGAACGGCTGTAACAGTCGGTGGCCTCGCTGTAATCGTGGTCCTTGGAAGCCTTCGAGCCTCTCTCCATCAACTCGTCCGCGTACTCCAACGATTTCTCGCGGTCCCCGTCAGAGGTGGTGAGAGTGGAAGTTTGGAGATTGATGTTGTCGCAAGAAGACTCTGTGCCTCCCTCAGCGTTCCATTCGATGGTTGCTTCGACCGAAGCTTGTTCGGCATTTTGTGGTGGGGTTTCTGAATTCGGAGCTTCGTCGGCCATTGATGAACTCAATCGGAGTGAAAATTAAAACACACACCAGTAGTACGTGAAATGGTTTGCTTGATTCTCGGGGGTGTTTGGGCTAAAATGTTAATTGAAGATAAAATATATTAAAATAATTAATAAATAAAAATATTACATTTAAATTATAATTATTTTATTTTTTTCTCACCATCATTAAATTAATTTAAAAAAATTAATTAATTTTTTAAACATAATTATTTTATCTAGGCTAAGATAGTCAAATAGTCAAAAACTAATTAAAATAGCTAACTTTCTAAACAAGGCCTATGTGATTTGTAACAGGAACAAAATTAAAAACATGGTTTTAGGTTTCTTTTGACAAAATGGTTGGGACTAATTTAGTCTATTAAAAGACAAAATAGATTAAAAAGTCAATAAGATAAAATATTATATTTAAATCATAATTATTTTACTTTTTAACTCAAAAAACTATAAAAAAAAATTAAAAATTCATCCCAAACGAATTTTTTTTTTAAATAGACTAAAATAGTTTTAAAAAGTTAAACTAAAAAAACTCTTTCGAAACGAAGGCTTAATGACTACCTTAAAGGTAAATTATAAATAAATTCGTTCGTTAACTAAAAAATCAAAAGTCATTATAAATTATTACGTCACTCTTTCTACTTTTCTACACATCTTTTTATAAAAAGTTAAAAAGTTATTAAAATAATTTGCTCCTAAACAAGACCTACGTCATTTTTAGATTCAAATTTCAATATTTAATTCTACTCATTTTTTTCCTTTCTTTTTTTTTTTTTTTTGACTTGACGCATTAATATTCGAAGCACTATAGATTATAGGGGTGGGCGCAGGTCGGTTGCAGTCACGAAACCTTCAATTCACCATCCGTCCGCCAATCCGGCAGAAGTGGATTAGCGGATGAATACGAATCGATTTAGCGGTTTAAAATTTTATAAATTTTTAACATAATTCAACTTGTGTACTTTCTCAAAAAAAAATATTATAGTAAATGATTTTAAAAAGTATTACAATCACTGCATATCTCATCCAAAAAAAGAAAGTTTAAAATTTTAAAATATTACAATCACTGCGTGTCTCATCCACATAAAGTATTACAATTTGTGATTCTTAAAATATAAAAACAATTCAAACCACCAAAACCATGAATAGAGCAGTAGTAGATTATATGCCTCTGTATTGTTACATCTATATCAATTTTTGAAAACAAAAACCAACCAACATATATCATCTTTTTTATTTATTATTTGTAGAATTAGATTTAAAAACCAAAAAATATAGATAAATAATACATGTATTTTTTTCAATTCAAAAAATATATTCAAGTTGAAAACTCTTTTTCAATAGAATATATTCAACAAAATATTTAATTTTTTTTTTCAATTGAAAACATAAATAGAATATCTAAACAAATTGAAAACACAAAGTTTTACAAATTAGTAAAAGTGCTCACAGTTTAACAATTCAGTTACGCCCAAAGGAATTTTAAATCTGTCATCCGTTCAAAATTAAGCGAATTGAAAAAAATCAATCTACAACCGTCGGCTTATCATCACGCATCCATCCAAAATGCGGCGGATCAGATTGACTCAATTGGCTTGAACAGATCGGTATATCCGTTACTCACCCCTAATAAATTACACTACAACAAGTGTATAAACAGTTTAATTCAGTCATGATTGAGGAACAATTTAGCACCAAATCAAAATTTTCAAAGTTTTATTAATAAGAAAAACCAAAACAGATTATATACCATGATTCAGTTTTATCAGTTTTGTCAGTTTTATAAATTTGTAAAATTTTACATTGGGAATAAAAGGAAAAAAAAAATTAAAAGTTGCTCTATAAATGCCTCATTCCCTAACTTTTATTATAAAATATGTATTATTGGTCGCTTAACTTCTGATGTTTAAAGAATTAAAAGGATAGTATTTAAATAATGGACTTTTCTCATGTGTGCCTTGCATATGGTATGCAAGGCACTTACACCCTTCCATTTTGCATTTACACATTTATATGTATTGGGTTATATCAAAATATTTGGAAACCTTTTAAAATTTATTTAAAATACGAATTGTCTCATATGGTTTGAAAAATTATAAATATCTCACTGTCAGAATTTTTCATTTAACAGAATTAATTGAAAAAATAAAATTTTTAACCGTTCACCTATATAACAATAAAATTAGGGTGAATTACACTTTGTACTCCTGCACTTTATACAAAATCTCACTTTAGTCCCTACACATCAAATTGTGACACTTAACCCCCTGCACTTTTGGTCAAGTATCACATTGAGCCTTCTATTAATAGTGAGGCTAACAGAAATTATCTTTTAGGGAATTCACAATTTTGATGTATAGGAACTAAAGTGGGATTTTGTGTAAAGTGCAGGGGTACAAAGTGTAATTTATCCTCACATGTTTTTCATGTGACTAACCTCTGTTAACATTGAGACTAACAGAAAAACCAAAGTGACACTAGACCAAAAGTGCAGGGGATTAAGTGTCACAATTTGATGTGTAGGAGCCAAAGTGGGATTTGATGTAAAGTGCAGAGGTACAAAGTGTAATTTATCCATAAAATTATCTGAATTATTAATTGAAATAAAATTTTAACATTATTAAAAACTGTTAATTAACTTGATGATCTATTAATAAAATGACCTATTTATTATGAAATTAGAAATTTTAGAAGGCATAATATAATTTTTAGAACTACAGTGTAATTTACCCATTGATATAAAAAAAAAAATTAAAACCGAAATAGATTGTATATCATGAAAAATAGATCAAAACCAAAATTTCAATTGATCTTAAGTAGTTAATTCCGTTTCATCGATTGCCCATTGTGAAACAGTTCCATGGAAACACAACCGGGTCACCGGACATAATCCTTTCTTCAAGGATGGAGGCGGAATGTGTCCATTGCATCCAGTTATGAGCGATAGACTAATAAGTGGGTTTATAAATGAACTCCACAAGTGGTTTCTGAAAATTATATTATTTTGTAAAACTGTATTTTTTAAATATAATTTTAAAATTAAAGTCATATTCTAAAAATACTATTTCAAATTATTTTTTAGAACAATTTTATTAAAACTGTATTTCAAATTTATAATTTAATGCTTAAGGTGCAACCAACCCACATAATTTAAAAAATTAGTTTATATTTAATAATTCTGTGATTGGATTAACGCATATTCTCTAGGCGGATCTTTCTCTACTAGCATTGATCTTATTCTTGAAAGAGCAAAAAAAAAATTATGAAACAATGTAGTTTCATGATTTTAGATTTGTGAAGAGAATCTTTTTTTTAATATTTTAAACAAAATAAATAAAGTAAAAGTTGAATTTTTATCTCTCTTCTATTTCTTTTTACAACTATTTCACAAATTCAAGACATAATATTAAATTTGTTATTTGTGTGTCACTCTTCTAGCTTTATATGTGAAAAATCAGTACTACAAAAATAGATAAACATCACACTTTTTTTTATGTGATGTATGTTATTTAATCACACCTTTTAAATTTTATTAAAGTGTGATCTTTGAGAGTGTGATTAAAAGGGGTCATTTTTAATCACACCTTTTAAGTGTGATTAATAGTATTTAAATCACACTTTTTAAGTGTGATTAAAAGGGGTCATTTTTAGTCACACCTTTTAAGTGTGATTAATAACATTTAAATTACACCTTTTAAGTGTGATTAAAAATAGTATTTAAATCACACTTTTTAAGTGTGATTAAAATTGTCTCTAAAAATAATTTTTTGTGATGATTTTTTATATATGTCGCTAAAGATTGACAATTAATGACTTTTTTTTTGTTACGATTTGTATAAATTGTAGCTAAAATTTACGATTAGTAGCGTTTTCACCTCTATAAAACCATATGATTATATATGCAACATCTATTATTTATATAGTACATAGACCCGTATTAATATAAAAGTATATATATATAAAGATAATTATTTTTTATTGAACATAATTTATGTAAAAATAAATTATTTATTAGAAGAAAAAAAAAGAGACCACTTTTGGCGACTAAACATAATTTCAGTCGCCAATTCTATACTTTTGGCTACTAATTATTTTTTGATCGTTAAAAAATTTAATTCCCGAGTTAAAATTACCACTTTTGGAGACTAGATTTCTTTTTAGTGGCCAAAAAGCCTCACTTTTGGCTACTAAACATCTTTTTAGTCTCCCAATGCCTCAGTTTTGGCTACTAAATTTTTTTTAGTCACTAAAAAATCTCATTTTTGGCTACCAAACATCTTTTTAGTCACCCAATACCTCACTTTTGGCTACTAATTTTTTTTTAGTCGCCAAAAAACCTTACTTTTGGCTATTAAAATTTTTTTAGTCTGTAAAAGTCATAAATGGGCAACCAAACAGATTTTTAGCTGCCAAAACCTATACTTTTGGCTACTAATACTTTTTTAGTTTCCAAAACCTATACTTTTAGCGACCAAATGTGCTTTTTTAGTCGCCAAATATTTTTTATTGAACATAATTTATGAAAAAATAAATTATTTACTAGAAAAAAAAGAGACCACTTTTGGCTACTAAACATAATTTTAGTCGCAAATTCTATACTTTAGTCTACTAATTATTTTTTAGTCGTTAAAAAATTTAATTCCCGGGCTGAAATTACCACTTTTGGCGACTAAACTTCTTGGCTACTAAATTTTTTTTCAGTTTTGGCTACTAAATTTTTTTTAGTCACTAAAAAATCTCATTTTTGGCTACCAAACATCTTTTTAGTCACCCAATACCTCACTTTTGGCTACTAATTTTTTTTTAGTCGCCAAAAAACCTTACTTTTGGCTATTAAAATTTTTTTAGTCTGTAAAAGTCATAAATGGGCAACCAAACAGATTTTTAGCTGCCAAAACTTATACTTTTGGCTACTAATACTTTTTTAGTTGCCAAAACCTATACTTTTAGCGACCAAATGTGCTTTTTTAGTCGCCAAATATGCTTTTTCTTATAGTGTAGTGTGATTAAATATATATATATATATATATAATTACGCTTATTTAAAAAGTGTGATTAAAAAGTAGTAATGTATATATAATCACACTTTGATTAGAATGTGTGATTAAAAAATTTATAAATAATCACACTTTGATTAGAATTTGTGATTAAAAAATATATATATATAATCACACTTATTTAAAAAGTGTGATTAAAAAGTAGTAGTGTATATATAATCACACTTTAATTAGAATGTGTGATTAAAAAATATATATATATAATCACACTTAATTGAAAAGTGATATAAAAAAATGAATATTATCACACTCAATCAAATTAAGTGTGATTAAAATATCAATCTAATTTTTTTTATCACACTTTCAATAAAAGTGAGATTTTTTTTTGTTAAAATGTGATCTTTAACTATTTTTGTAGCGGTGGATGTTAATAACCCCTAATGAGTAGTCATTAGTCTATATAAAAATAAAAATGCATATAAAGTATATAGAAATAAGAGAGTAAGAGAGAGTGATTTGCGCTTGACAATCCTTTGAGTACGGCGCTAGGAAGTTAGACATAAAGAGTTTAAGGGGTGTTTTGAAAATATAGTAAAAATTAATTTTTTGACTTTTAATCAAGTTTTTAGCTTTTTTAGACAAGTGATTTAGGAAGTTGGTAAAAAATTACTTTTGAATTTTTTGATTAATATTTGTTTATGATGTCAGATCACAATAAAATGACTAAACTACTCCCATTCAATTTAAAATATTTACAACTTTACCCATGTAACATATTTTGACCCATGAGGAGTAGAATTGTAATTTTACCAAAGACAAAAAACCAACTTCCCAAATGTCTTTAAATACAAAAAAGCTAACTTATGGCTTTTGCTACATACTCAAAAAAATGGTTTAAAACCAAGTAGCCAAAAAAGGCCTAAATAAGCCCAATCCATATATATTATATGGGTTTTTTACTGGCCAGTCCTAATTTTTATAGTTATTCCCTTCTTAGTCCTGAATATTGATGTTGTGCACCAATAGGTCCTGGAGTCTTTTTTTTTTGTACCTGTTTTACCCCTGTTTTGGCACGTTTCTATTTGATTTTTGCCATCAAAATATTGTAATGTGAGTTTGGGTTTGGGTTTGTGATTTGGATTTCTGTGGAACTTCGCGATTTGTTAATGCATTATTGTGGAGCTTCGTGATTTGTGATTTCGCGCTTGGTGTATATTTGGATTTTGCGTTTTGCAATCTCATGGAGGGAGCTCGATTTGTGATTTGCTTTTTATAAATCTGTGAATCTTCGTGTTTTGTAATTTCGCATTTGGTGCATAGTTAGATTTTGTGATTTGCGATTTTGTGGATGGAGCTCAACTAGTATGTTTGATTTTGATTTCAATTTCAATGTTTTAGTGTTTTTTAGTTTGAGTTTGTGATTTTGATTTTGTTTATGATATTGTTGTTATTCTGTTATTTCTGCGATTGAATTTGTATTTTATCATGATATTGAAAGATTTGAGATATGTATATGTAATAAATATTAAATTTATTTTTTTTTTTTGGTTACGAAATTGTTTTGGTTGAACACATGTGTTGGTTTGTGATTTTCTACAGTGATAATTTTATCACTGAGTAGTTTGGGGGTATTGTTGGATTAACTTTTTCAACACTAATAAATTTATCAGCGAGTATAGGAATAGGAGATGAAAAAGTTGCATAATATAATGGTAAGATTCAAATCGAGTTACCATGCCCAATAAATGTAAGCCTTATTCACTGTTCATGCTCTTGGTCTTGGGTAGTGTTAATTGTTAAATTTATCACTATTGATTTTTGGATGTGTTTGAGTTGGTTAATAATTCTATCACTGTATTAGATTTTGCTTTAGGTTGTTTGAGTTGTTTACTAAAATATAATTGTTGTTTGTTGCAAGATTTATAGTGATGGAAAATTCTTTGTTTCTTATGTGCAAATTTAAAGGTGTGACATTGGTTATCAAGTATAATGATGGATTTAATTTCAAGAATTTAGTATATAAATTGTGTGTAATTTCAATGCCCGTACATTCTTATTATGGTTTACAAAGTGAAGAGGATTTGGAGGTTATGGTTGAACTCGCACTTTCTTGTGATATTCATCGTATTGATATTTTTGTTAAGTGTTGTTCTTTGGGTGAAGGTTATATGATTTGTGATGGTGAAGCTGGTAGTAGTAGTAGTGTTGTTTGTGAAACTGATTTTTTGCCTTCATTTTATTCAAATCAACGGAAACCTTTACTCTCCGATAGGTGGGTTAATTGTATAAAATGAGTGGGTCAAAGGTTTGCTCAAGGAGTTGTTGAATTTCGAGATGCGTTGTCAAAGTATTCTATTCATTCCGGTTTTGATTTTGATTTTGTTAAGAATGACAAGGATCGTGTCACTATTCATTGTAAGAGAATGGCTGATTTGGGATGTTTATAGAGCGTGCATGCTAGAGTGGAAAATTCTAGTAAAGCTTTTGTTATTCAACAATTTGATGATGTTCATACGTGTGGATCTTCTTTTCGTACAATTAAACATACTAGGATGACTTCGCGTATGATTGGTGGGCTAATTTCAAGTGAGGTTCGTAATAAGGCTTTGACATCAGTTAGTGAGGTGGTTTATGATTTCAATGACTATTATGGAACAGAAGTTTCTTATCAGCGAGCTTGGATGGGTGTTGAAAAAACAAGGGATGTTGTTTTTTGTGACTATTCATCTTCATTAGACGATCTTCGTTGGTATGTTGATACCGCTAATGATTGTAATCCGGGGAGTGTTTTTGATATGGGATTTGATATTGATAGTAAAGGAAGACATTTCAAATGCTTATTTTTCGCTTTTGAGGCATGTATTCATGGTTTCAAGTATTGTCGGCCTGTGTTGATGCTTGATGAAACTTTTTTGAAAGAAAAACACAAAGGTTATTTATTGGCTGCTACGGAAAAAGACAGTAACCAAGGTATATTCTATGTCTATTTGTTATTATTATTAAAACAATGATAATTTTATCATTTTTGTTACTGGAGAGTATTGATTATTGAGTATGGTCAATCAATTACTGATAAATTTATGCTGTATACTTTTGTATGTTGTATACTTTTGTTAAATTTTTATATTTATACAGTAATAAATTTATTATGCATTGATTCTATATGTTGTATGTTTTTATTGAATTGTTGTAGTAATACAGTGATAAAGTTATCTATGGTTGGTGCTATATGTTATATACTTTGCGTTTTGCTTTTGTTTTGTAATCTTTTTTATTTGTTACAAATAATGTGTATATATTTTGTTTGTAGGTTTATATCCATTATGTTTTGCCATTGTTGATAGTGAACGTTATGACAATTGGCATTGGTTCTTGTCAAAGTTATTCGTTATTTTGACTCCGGGAAGGGATATTATGTTTGTTACTGATCGACATGGAGGTTTGCTGAAAGCTTTAGCTAAGGTCTTTTCGTTTTCTTCTCATTCTTTTTGTCCAATGCATTTGAAAACAAACTTGAAGACTTATTTGTTAGTGAAGAGTCGCGAATCTAAAGAGTATTTGCTCACTCCTTTTAGTAGATATGCATATGCTCATATTATTCAGTTGTTTAATGAGCTATTTGAAGAATTTAAGGGTCGTTGTGGTCGTAATGTTCAAAAGTTTCTTGAGGATTTGCCTAATGAGTGTTGGTGTAACGCTTATTTTCAAGGCAAGAGGTATGGTGAAATGTGCACAAATGCTGCAGAATCTTTTAATTCATGGATTAGGGATAAGCACCATTTGTTTTCAACTAATCTTGTTGATGCTATACGGGTGAAAATAATGGAGCAATTTTCAAAAAGGTGAGAAGTTGGAAATAAGTGGAATCGTATTGTTTGTCCTTTTGTAGAGAAAAAGTTGGAAGAAGCTTTTAATGATACAAAGGCATAGATAGTTAAGAAATGTAGCGATGATATTTATGAAATCCAATTAGATCATTCAGTTATGGTTGATATTGGGAAACAGTCTTGTTCTTGTCGATTGTTGGAAATTGATTATTTTCCTTGCAAACATGATTTTTATGCTATAAAGAGGAGTGAGAAGGATCTGAATTGTTTTATTGATGATTACTACCATGTTCGTAGTTATTGTGATTCGTATTCGCATTCTATCTATCCAGTTCCTAGTATGTGGAAGCCAAATGTAGTTCTTGATGATGACGTTGTTTTACCTCCTCTTTGTAAGAAACCAGTTGGACGTCTAAGAACAGAGAGAATACCTTCGAAGGGCGGATCCAGAGAATTAGGTGCAGTAGATGTGGAAAGATGGGAGCTCATAATCGAAAGACATGTAAAGAAGCTTGCTTAGTTGTATTGATTTTAATTGAATTACTTTTGTTGAGAGTTGAGAGGTGTTACTTGTATTGAATGTTTGAGTATTTTTTGAAAGATACATCATTTCGGTAGTTGCATTGGATGATTGAGGAACTTTTTGAACGGAAATTATATTTTTTGTTGATATTTTTACAAGATTAAGTTTCACAGATTTATATTCTTTGATTTTGGTTAAATGTAGTTGATGTTTTTGGTGTTTTATACAGTGGTAAATTTATCCCTGGTTGGTTTGAATGAGTTGGTGGATTATTTTTTTTAAGAGTGATAAATTTACCATTGTCTGAAGGAAACAATCAAGCATTAATGGGGTTGCTGAATTTTGTTATTTTTAAGAATGACAAATTTATAACTGACTGTATGGAAAGAGTTTATGGTTTATTACATTTATGTCAGTGGTTGATAAATTTATCACTCTCATATCCAACCAAATGTTCTTTTTTACAGTGATAAATTTATCAGTGGCTTAAACTCAAGAAAAATCAATTGTAGGTAGTTTAGAACTAAGTTTCCCAATCTGTGCTACATTACTGCCACTATGCAATTAACTATTAGTGGGATCCTTGAAACAAAATATTTCGAGTTTATAATTCATTTTTAGATTAAATTGTTCAAAATTTCAGTCTAAGAAATGTTTTAGATGCAACAGTTTATCATCAGGTCTTGAATAAGATCATATTTCTTCATAAATAACTGGTTCTTGGAGTTAAATGTTAAAATGTATGTACGGTTTGCTTTTTTGGATTTACTGTTAGAACTTTATCTCCACTCCATATACCCAGAATGGCATGTTCTTACATTCATTCCCAAACTTGAAAATATCTACAAATTGCAACAGTGTTTTAATTCTCAATTTGGACAATGTAATAGTTTTTGTGTTTTAATTTTCAATTTAGATAAATTATTTATTATTTTTATATTGTTTTGTTTACTTGAATTAGGAAAAAAGAATGAGAATGAAAGAGAGAGAGAGAGAGAGAGTTGCTGATTTTTGTTAGTTTGAACAGTGATAAATTTATTAGTGTAAAAAAAGTGTCATGTTAGTAAATAAAGGGATCCAAACTTGTTATTAAGCATAACGTAAGACTGATATCAAAGCCAGATCTGGTAAAAATATAGCTAAAAAAGACTGAATTTTCATTTAGTGTATTGTCTATAATTTTAACATTTTTAACAATCAAGCATTATAATATTCATTGAAGTAAAGTACGAACCAAAATGATCAAAATATAGATAACACTGTAACAACCAAACAAGTCAAATGTATAAAGTATTCGCATTCTAACAACTAAATGAATCAATGTTTCCTTTTTATTACACTGTAACAAACAAACAAGCAAAATGTTTTATTTTCTTCCAGATCTGTTGATTAGTGTAACAAACAAACAAGCAAAATGCTTTCTTTTCTTCCAGATCTGTTGATTATTGTGGAGGCAAGTCATCAACGTTTTTATCAACTATTTATTGTTGAGCAGTTTGTTGGTCAGTCAAAAAGATAGTTAATATATTGGCTCTCAATTGATTGCATTCTTCTTTGAAAAAAGTAGACATTATGCTGTTGTTGGAAACATATTGCCTCATGATATAGCAAACAATGATTCCACAATCAAGCCTACAAAAACATTTTGAAAACAAAATATTATAATTTGGTTTCGTTGCATTTTTTTTTATAGGAGTGTTTTGTTATTGATCAACTTACGAAGTGTCTTCCTATTGTGAGCTGTTGATAACTCTCTCTAAATTAGGCAAATTAAGCAAATCTATTATTGTTATAACAATTTTTATCACTGAATTAAGCAAAGTAAGGAAATTCATCATTATATAGCAAATGTTATCACTCAATTAGGAAAATTAAGCAAATCTATCATTCTTATTACAAATTTTATCACTGAATTAGGCAAAGTAAGCAAATCGGTCATTGTACAGCAAATTTTATCACTGAATTAGCAAAAGTAAACAAATCCATCATTGTATGGCAAATGAACATGAAGTTATGATTATTATGAAGTTGAATATCACTAATAAATTAAAACTGTATAATACACATTGAAAATAGTTTCAAGTTGAATTTTATCACTTAATTATAGTTATGAAAAAAGAAAGGAATCAAATCCATCATTATAACAAATTTTATCACTCAATTAAGAAAATTAAGCAAATCTATCATTCTCATAGCAAATTTTCTCACTGAATTGGGCAAAATAAGAAAATTTGTTATTGTATAGCAAATGAACATGAAGATGTGATTATTATGAAGTTGAATATTACTTAATTATAGTTATAAAAGAAGAACGGAAGATGAATATGACTCACATTTGATTCGCATGTTTGTTGAAGAATAAGGGAAGCAAATCCATCATTATAACAACTTTTATCACTTAATTAGGAAAATTAAGCAAATCTATCATTCTTATAGCAAATTGTCTCACTGATTTGGGCAAAGTAAGCAAATCTAGCATTGTATAGCAAATTTTATTACTGGATTAGCAAAAGTAAGTAAATCTATCATTGTATAGGAAATGAACATGAAGATGTGATTATTATGAAGTTAAATATTGCTCATAAATTAATACTGTATGATACAAATTGAAAACAGCTTCAAGTCGAATTGTATCACTAAATTATAGTTATGAGAGAATAAGGGAGGCAAATCTATCATTATAACAAATTTTATCACTCAATTAGGAAAATTAAGCAAATCTATTATTCTTATAGCTAATTTTATCACTGAATTGGGCAAAGTAAACAAATCTGTCATTGTATATCAAATTTTATCATTGAATTAGCAAAAGTAAGCAAATCCATCATTGTATAGTAAATGAACATGAAGATGTGATTATTATGAAGTTGAATATCACTTATAAATTAATACTGTATAATACACATTGAAAATAGCTTCAAGTCAAATTTTATTACTCAATTATTGTTATGAAAAAAGAAGGGAAGCAAATCCATAGTTATGAAATAAGAAGAAATGCAAATCCATCATTATAACAAATTTTATCACTCAATTAGGAAAATTAAGCAAACCTATCATTCTTATTGCAAATTTTCTCACTGAATTGGGCAAAGTAAGCAAATCTGTTATTGTATATCAAATTTTTTCACTAAATTAGCAAAAGTAAGCAAATCCATCATTGTATAGCAAATGAACATGAAGATATGATTATTATGAAGTTGAATATCAATCATAAATTAATATTGTATGATACACATTGAAAATAACTTCAAGTCGAATTTTATAACTCAATTATAGTTATGAAAGAAGAATGGAATCAAATCTATCATTATAACAAATTTTATCACTCAATTAAGAAAATTAAATAAATCTATCATTCTTATAGCAAAATTTCTCACTAACTTGGGCAAAATAAGCAAATCTGTTATTGTATAGCAAATGAACATGAAGATGTGATTATTATGAAGTTGAATATCACTTAATTGTAATTATAAAAGAAGAACGAAAGATGAATACGACTCACGTTTGATTTGCATGTTTGTTGAAGACGAACTAAACAGGGAATATAGATCGAAACGGTGGAAGATTTGCTGGGGATCTGTTCAAAATCGGAATATAGATCGAAACAGAGGTGATTTCTTTGGAAACGATGGGAGATTCAGGGAAAATCTCTTCGTTTGTTTCGATTTCCAAATCGCAAATTGCCTCAGAATAGTTTCCAAATCAGAACAATTGTGGAGCGTGTGTGTCACACGCACAGGGGAGAGTTCGTGATATCTTCTTTGCTTCACACATGTGGTGTGACATTGAGGGGTAAAATTGGAAACTAAAATAGGGCAGGACTTGGTGGGTATTAATTTGTTTCAATGGGACCAGCTGGTAAGTCCCCCTATATATATAGGGAGTTCGTGAAAATTGGTAAGTGTTCCCTAAGCACATGTAACAATTATCTCTAGATATAATTATAGAAAGTCCTCTATGAGCATGATTAAAGAACTACTTGGTAAGAAACTAGACATGAAGAGTCCAAATAAGCCCAACCCATATATATGGAAAGTTCATAAAATTGATAAGTATTCTCCACACCTGTGACAATTCTCTTTAAATATAATGTATGAGGACGAAATATCCTCTGCTTTCCGTACTCCTTGGAGTTCAAGCTTCACGTGACGGTGTCTAACCTGACAACACAGAGAACAGTGAGCTGCCCGGCGATAGTGTGCCGAATAGACCCTCCGACGATCAAGTCAGATCACTTGAGGAAGAAGGAGACTATTCGAGAGAGAGAGAGGGTGTTTCAGATAGCGCAAGTTGCTTACCTCTAACGTTCATCCTCCCTTCCTTTTTCTAGGCTGGCCATGCAGCCTCAGGATTGTGCACGCACTACCTCTACTGTCCTTCCCTGGACAGTTGGCTATGCTCGCCTCCCACCACCTTACACGTGTAAAGGCCAAATCCTCCATCCAGTACATGCAAAACTGCCAAACGGTATTGACGCGTGCCTGGAGCAGATATCCTCTCCCTCACGCCATTGGCTCAAGTGGCACATCCGACCGGCATACCAAGACTGGCCTATTCCTTAGGAGAAAATCAAAACCACAAAGAACACAAATGAGCTTCCGAGCTATCTGGTCGGGCGCACGCTGACCTCTTCCCGGCCTATACTCTTTCCGGACTGTCATCTGCTCGGTCGCGCCGTGCTAACGCACGCCTACCGCCGAACGCTTAACAGTCACAGCTCAGCCTGGCCTTAGACCATGCCTGGTCGGCAAACCTACCTCGGCCGTGTAAGACAGGCCGGAGGACCGTGCCGATTGAGGGGATAGCTCGGTACCGAGAGGTTTGCCACACCTGCGTTGCCGTAGCTCTACCGTACTGTCCGGTGCAAATCTGCCCTCTCAATTGCTCCCTAATCCCATCCGAGCTAATCGTGATTGGGGTTACCACCATGACCGAGCTAACGGTCCCTGAGTTACACCAGTACCAAGCCGAGCGCGATTGGTTTTGAAGCCGTTACC